GACCCTGCCCCTCACACGCCTCCTTGATCGATTCCCCCTTCTGCCCCTAACGCGACCATTTTTTATTTTCTCTCTATATCATGAATATATGACACAACAGATATCTTGGCCTTGACGAGAGTGTACGCGATGTCAGTTACGTGGAGAGGCTCCTTGCTGTCAGGCCCTGCTGGTTCCAAACGAGGCTCCACTGGTCCATCATCTTCTCGCGGTCGCGTATGGAGAGGCAGCTCTGGAGGATCGCAACCTGCACCTAGCACTGATGATAGTGCACGAGGTGCTAAAACTCGTGCACCCAGCCGCGGTGGGCCTCGAGGCGGACGTGGGAGGCGGGGCGATATATCAGGTAGTTCTGCGCATCCAACCGGTGCATCAGGCAGGTCAAATGCAGGGCCATTCCGAGGTAATGACAATGGCAAGCTAGACGAGTCACATTCAGTGCTAAGTTTGTAATGGTTTAGGGGCTGAAAGGAGAAACCTAGATAATGGATCTCGATCCAACGGCGGCCAAGAAAATGGTATAAAGGCTCCTCCGGTATTCGGCTCGCGATCGGGGACTTCGAGTGGACAGTCATTACGACCTTCATCTCCATTCGGCTCAATCACGAATACGAATGGGCCCTTCACTGACCGCTCAAGAGATCCACGGAGGCAAAGTGCCAAATTCTCAGGTGGAAGCGCAAAATCCGGAAAGCCGCAGGATTATAATACTCGCTATGAGCAGGTAATTTCTTGTTTTGATGATTTGGCTTCTCCAAATTGGAGTGCCCACGGCTAATCGATCATGGGCTCTCTAGTTGAAACTTGACCGTGCTAAGCAGCGCACAGAAGCCGTGAAGTCCGGACAAATGGCTGACCCGAATCAACCAATATCCCTGACAAGTGCAATTACTCCAACAGGCACTTGTACAGAAATGTGTCCCGAATTCGAACGAGTGGAACGCATTGTTCAAAAGATGGTTGATAAGAGTGAAAAGGTTTTTTATACGCTCTTCATCGTTTCCCATCAAATTTTGCCAGACGCTGACCTGGGTTGACTATAGTATACCGATCAGGAATCTGGAGTGTCTCATACAGTTGAGGCTAAAATGCTTAAGAGATTCAGAAGATCTGCTGCTGGCTATGACGAGCAGTTACCTTCAGACATCAGGACTCCAAAAACCCTCCTCCAAACGATGAATTATCTTCTACGATATGTTGTAGAAGATGACGAAACTCTAGCTACCACTCACAAATTTCTCTGGGATCGCACACGCTCAATTCGCAATGATTTATCTATTCAACAACTTACTCAAGCCCAAGATGTCTCAATTGCAGTGAAGTGCCTTGAACGAATTGCCAGGTTCCACATCGTAGCTCTCCATCTCCTGTCCAGTCCTGAAAACTCGGAACCCTTTGATCACCACCAAGAACGAGAGCAGCTAAATAATACCTTATTATCCCTCCTATACTACTACGATGACAACCGAAATTTGATCAAGTTTCCCAACGAGGACGAGTTTCGAGCCTATTACATTGTGTTCTCCATACACGACCAGCGGCCCGATCTCGAAGCTCGAGTACAAAACTGGCCTCGGGAACTGTTACGGTCACCTCGGGTTCAGGTTGCACTTGAATTGTTTGCTGCAGCTGGGAATACTTGGGAATACCAAGGCACCTTGGATGCGAAAAGGCCGAACGCAATTGCCCAAGGCCTCTATGCGCGTTTCTTCCGCCTTATTCAGTCTCCTAGCGTCCCGTATCTCTTAGCGTGTATTGCAGAAATATATTTTAACCAGGTCCGGCAAACGACAATCCGATCGATATGGAAAGCGTATTGTCGACACCCTATTTCCCAACAACACAAGAACCAAGAGTGGACTGTTGACGAGCTTACTGGAACACTGGCATTTGACGATAACAATCAAACCATTGATTTTTGCGAGGAACAAGGGCTCCAGTTTGCGACGAATGCTGACGGGCAGATGTATCTAAATTGGGGCCAATTTCCGCTTGATTCTGTCGGTGCGTGATTTTATCCGCCAACAATTTGATCGATCTTGTAGGAACGTGAATCTGACTTACTTTAACCACTTGAACCATCAATGATTGGTTATAAAATAGCCTTCCAGCCATCCTCCCAACAAACATTTTCATACGAGTACGTCGAATCTAAGCGTTGTGGAAGGACTCTAGTGTCGCTTATCCTTGGGATGAACGTTTTGCAAGCTTCCAGGCACGGGATGATCGATCAATCCATTTTACCATCCGAATTGACATTGGAACAAAATCCGAAACAGAATATGGAGTCAGATGGACTGTTTGTTAGTGATCATGAAGATGAAATTCAAACGCATGATGCAACGAGCTGGCAGTCGGATAAAGGAACTATCGGAACTTTCAAGCCTACGTTTTCATTCCCCAGCGTTGCCGAACCAGTGTCCGCCACGAATGAGTTGGCTCAAGTGGCCGCAGGGGATCGTTTCTCGCCTATTGTTCCATCTACGCATCAAACGTTGCTCCCCAAGCCAGGACAGCTATCTCCCAGCGCTCAGCCTTTCACACCTCAAGCCCAATCACCGTTTATGGGAACTATGGCATCGGTAATATTCCCTTGCATATGTCGCAACGCTGGAT